CTATCAAAGCCCCGGTCAGTCAGTATGAGTTGATTTCTTCATAACCAAACCATTAGTTTTTTTTCGGGGGCCGTGGGGTTCCGCATAAGGATGAAGATTTCGGTGGAGAGAATGCTGTATGTGTTCAGAAGACAACTCATACTCATGGATATTCGTTGATATTCGTTGTCGAACTTTATACTTATTCAGAACTCGGTTGGATGAATTCGTCATGCTTGCGTTCTATCTGCGAGGTCCCGGGTTCGATCCCCAGTTGGATCGATGGACTTGCACTGCTATCGGGAACCAACCAGGTCGTATCAGCTGTTCAGTGCTTCCCAGCTTTACAGTTAGTCTAAATTACCCGGCGAATTCATCATACAAACGAATCAAATCCCCCTCTATTCTCATACAACAGCTGGATTTGTTTATTCTGACATAAAGGTCGTGATCAACGATGAAGGATGCGGCGCTCCCGGAAAGATTAACAGACAAACCCCAGGACACCAAAACCTTCATCTTCGCTATGTAACTCATCTCAAAAGTACTTTTGTTTGTTAATGAAGAAATCAGGTCATGCCGACTAATCGAGGTTTTGGTAGACCCGATCCAATCGGTAATGTGTGATGGTTGAAGCAGTAATCTATTGGTGGGGTTTCCAGTTGAATGCGATTGGTGGACTCAGTTAAAGTTGAAAAGGTATACTACGGTAGTCTCGCGAGCACCTTTCACTAGCAGTATCGTTTCCTTTCCAGCCCTCAGCTGATTGCACGGCGCTGTGAACGGTCAAACCAATTGCCACGCTCGTAAAGCCTTACTTACCCCCAGTCATCCCAATCTGTCGAATAACATCATTGTATGTAAGCGCTTCGTGGACGCTTTCACGCATGCGAGCTATATCGGTTCTTCCCTCTATAACAGGTTCCTCGACTGATGCAGTGCATATACACTGTATTTTTTGTCTTGACAATTACGCTCTTCGGACACACTTCACACTGATGTTTATTCATAGATCACGACAAAAGGCGATCAATTACTGGTACGAGAGCGTGAGAATTTCTCGATCCGTTTTTTTCTTTTCCGCTCTCTCTCTCGCGCGCTCAGATTAATAAATGGATGTGAAAACCAGTTTAACTGTGAATGATGCCGAGTTTAGGCTGACGTTGACCAATCGAGCTGATGTGGTTCTATCTAGCCCAGCGTGGAGTTCGAATAGTTAGTTTATACTTACGGTCAAACCTGGTGATACTTTGTGTATGGACGATTTACCAAATAACGTCCCCATAGAATAAACACTGGCCCACGGTCCGGATTCCGTCAGGTCGGGGTTGTTTTGGACTACTCAAATCCAGCCTACTGTTACTTGAATAAAAATCAAAATATTTCTTATGGCCGTTATGGAGACGTTTGAGTTCCTCTGTCCCTTCGAATTCACATGATGCTCACACAAGTGACGGTTGTCCGTTGTGCAATCGGAATGTGAAAATCGGTGAAGTCCCCTCCCGATGAACACAATTATTAAATTGTTCAGCCCTCGAAAACCGACAATGAGCAAACGGATCGTTCGGTACGATAGTAAAAGTGATTACCAACGATATTGTGTAAAGGTGATACTACTAGGGCTCTCAGACGCCTGTCTAATGGGTTCATTCAAACAGCGGTGGTCCGAAATCTATACCCAGGGGCGTTGAAGACTACCTGAAGCGTGATTAGAACCGTGTACTACCATAAGCCATCAATCACGTGTTTGGTAACGACTATCAATGTTGGGGATGAGGAAATGCGTGGTCGGGGAAAGAAAATGGATACCAACAGTTGCTCAAGAGGACTATACCTTAAGACGAATTCACCCTGGCAGTGTGATAAATCGATGCGAATTCAATTCTCCCTTCTGATGCAACCCTTATTTAGTGTGCTGCAACTTGAAACGGTCCGTTTGTGCCATTCCGAACATTTCTGTTTATTCCACACACGGAGAATTTCTTTATCTTACTGGGTCGCAAATATGGATTCACTAGGCTCGGTCACGACAGAGCGACAAAATTTGTTTGAGGAAACGTAATTGCAGTAAGAAAACACTAGCCAATGTGTACCGCACAACTCGTTCTCTTTGGTATTTGCATATCTGTTTCTAGGTGCCCTGTGTTTTTCGAATCAGGTAGTCTTTCAGGTTTTTCATCGTCTTTGACTTCCTTCTTCGTTGCCTTGTTTTTCAAACTTACATTGTTCTCATCTCAGGCGGGAACACACTTATCTGTTTGTTTTTCTGGTTACTGTCGAACTGCCTATATGTATTTGTGGAACAGGTTAGAGATAGAGTATCGGTGTTCGAACTGCACTATCTGCGCCGCATTGCGCGAGTCCACCAGACAAATAACGCTGAGGTTAGCCGCAGAGTTTTAGGCAACCGCAGTCACCCACCGAAGCAGGTGCTTGACCTCCATAGATTACGTTGTTTGGGGTATTTGCTACTCTTGTTACCAAACAAGCTGCCACCGCATACGGTGCTTGTCCAGATGGTTAGTGGGTGAAAAATGGTCAAGAGTTTTTGCACTATGACCCACTGTGAAGGTATAAAAACCTTGACCAAGAGGCTCGGTACTATAGGACGCGTTAGGCCTCCCAGATGGAGATCTCATGAATTGTCTAATCGATGGCCGCGAACTCTGAGTGACATAGCTGAGTATCGTGCATCTGCCTAATATACGTGCTACGTTAGTCCATTTGAATTTTCTCTCTTCACATGGATACTGTCTCTAGCATCCCAATCTTCCCTCCACTCCTTCACCTAAATAAGTAACATCCATAACCGCCCTACGGAAGTATACCGTTGATGGTTGTAGAAACTGAATCTGAAAACTGAGCATTCGCCACTCAGGCCCCTCCAAAACTATAGTCATTTACGATACATGTACCTGATAGATGCACCTATCTGTTTTGCTTTATTTTTAATAATCTGTAAATCTACCACAAGTGTTGTGGCGAAACAAAGGCTACTATGAAATATAGAAGTGAGTTAGGCCACACTGATGGAGCTCGAACGCGGGATCTTGGACGGATGGAGAGAGAGAGAAAAAGATAATGCATTGATGACGTATGCCGAATGCTGCTTGACCACCACCACCACTGCTGCAGCAAAACCTTCACTATCCTTCGAGCGCTGTGAAACACGATGCGGCTCAAATTTTTTTTTATTGCAATTTATCTTCCGTAACTCGATCAGATTGCGGTTGTCTCTCTCTCTCTCTCGTTTTATTTATCTGTTTGTCTGCCGAACTCACAGACACATGAGTGATCTTAAAACCTCTTATTGATCTATTTGACAAGATTGCCTTTGAAAATGGATTTAAAGTTTGTATGGCAATTGTGAAAAGATCAGTGCTATCGGTGTGGCCTCATAGCTCAGCCGGTAGAGTGTACGCTGTAAAAAAACGTAGGCGGCGTCCATGCGTGGGTTCAAATCCCACCGAGGCTATTGAACTTTTCACAATCGCCATACAAGATTCTTGTTCTCCGACGAGATACCTGGATCAATTCTATGCTTGCTTCATACTACGGCTATACTAAATCAATTTAAATTCTCTGAGTTTACTTCCTTTATGGGGTGTAACAACTTTTTCTGGTCGCTCAGTTTCATTCAGGAAAAGTGGATTNCCCCCCCCCCCCCCCAGATGCCCTCTGTTACCAGTCCAATGCGACAGAATTCTCAACGTTCAACTAGATCGGTCACTCTACGTGCAGCGAATGCTAAACTGACCGCGGCCGCTGCCACGTCCGGGCGGCAATCCACTAGTTTGAGTGGCTTGAACCGCGGTGGTCGAGTATCTTCCACCCGTCCCAATACTGCAACGCCGGGATCTTCCAGTCGGGGTCTTGTTGGCCAGACCGGTCGACCAACACCACTGAATCATACCGTCCAATCTGGTCGGGCAAACAGTTCGGGTAATCGTACTCCACGACGAGCCACAGGCTCGGTGCCTACCTCGCCGTTGGTGCGCATATCCAAGACTCCAGGTGTGCAATTTGCCAATGTGCATGAACATTGTTTGATTTGTGTGTGTGTGTGTGTGTGTGTTTGGTTTCTGATGTTTTTAACAGTGTCGCTACACATCATGCTGCTGCCCCCGCTTAGATCGTGTTTCAACCAGGCATTTGGCTTTCCGAGCATGGACCTCGTGCAGAACACTGAGTCGTATTATTAATTTATTTAATGAAGTTCATCGCGTACAGAGCATCTGGAGTGTTAACTAAAGAACTGAGAAACACTTTACACGAGTTTGGACTGGGTTGGGTCGCATCAACAATGCGAATCTATCGACCCACTTGGGGTTCCGACCCGAGATCTCAGCCCAGGAAACACGCAACTCAGTTGACCACCGGGCAACTGATCAAACTGGTTATCGTGTTACCCTTACACGATATAACCGAATCCATCGTTGTGACCTTGTGGTGGGTATCATACCTCGTTCATTGCACCGCTAGTCTTTAGGGTTATGGCTCGACTGGAAACGATCTCAACCTGGTTGCCTGATTCATGAGAGATGGCTTATACCATATTGTGAATAGGCAAAATTAAATAGGTTTGATCAGTTGTCCGAATGTCTAACGGGTCGTATGTTCGCATTCTATCTGCGCAGAGATCCTGTGCTCGATGGTGAGACGCAACCCGGGCAGAAACAACTTTTCAGTGTCTCCTAGCTCTTCAGCTCCGGCCTCATTTTCTCCGTCCACAACAGTACCCAGTTTATAATCGAATCAATTCTTCCACTACTCCCATTTATCATAAAATTCGCCAATTCAGTGTCGCATACTCGAATGCTACACCAGCTCGAATTCAGACCAGAAATAGAAATGCAGCTTCGAAGAGGAATTATGTTGAGCTTTATCGAACTTATTTTAACATGTATGTCGCATTGTGCACGTGAATGGATTAGTCATTTATCAAGATGCATCAGATAGTCAAATCAACTCTCACGTGACACAAATCGATACACACATATGATTGTACAAGAAGTTTGATAAATTTTGACCATACTGTTTCACTAGAAAAGCGATGTTCTGCATTTGGTCAAAATTCGCTCGTACGCAGTCAGGTTGTATGCGTATCGATTCGAATAGTAAAGCATTTGAAATATTTTAGTTGAAAAGTGTCCAATGAGGTCGTCACAGTTGTGTATGTGAGGGTCGGGGTTAGTTTCCCCTCTACCCAGCATCTTTTAGATCGATCCTGTTTTGGTTGTTCACCTGGTCGAGAGGTTAGTGAACAGTAGAGTGTAATTGTCAAGTTTCCCGGGCTGTATGTAGTAACAACTGAGAGTAACAAAAAGTTGATGATGACGACGATGATGTCAAATTCGTGCTTGCTCCCACTTTGTGGGCTGTTGTGCTCCTCGGTAGCCCATGCCCCAGGTAGTCGGTTAAACTTGAGGACTTCGCCTCAGGTTATGATGTCGATCACAGAAGCTCCTGGAGGTCGATGTTTAGTCAGTTTGGCCTAACTGTACAGCAGAAAGATTCCATACCGGACAGGGNGGGGGGGGGGGGGTGATCGATACAGCGGTGTAAACCACTTAAGAGGAAGTGGTCAAATCAGATACATTAGCTGTGCCGAAAGCACAATGTGACGAAAAAAGTAACATTGTGGACAAGCAAATGCACTATTGCTCGACTGAATATAGACAGTACGATTCCTCAAGTCGAGAGGTACAGTTCAAACAGTTATTCAGAAAATTCGAATCAACACAATTTACAAACCGTATTTAAGTTAACCGATTCACTCTTAAACATCACAACTCCATGTATTCGCTCCACAGATGTGCCATTTATCTATGCAATAATGTCATAGGTGTGCAGACTGGCAAGCTGTCGGGCGGAAGGAGCATGATTATGTACACAGTAATATTCTCCGGAATGCAAGTCTTTATGGATGTGGGTAAAATCACGGTTCTAATCTAACCTGCCGAAAATAGACTAACTGTCGGCAGACCTACTCCCACACCCTCAGCCTTTGCGTGTGTAGACCTGTACCGGATCAATACTCCTTTGTGTTTTCGAACCGATGCAAAAGACCGTCCATGTACCATGTACTCCCTCATCTGTCGGTTTATGGTTCCAATCGGGGGACGACTTTATGGACTCCCATTTCACTGCAGCCGTTGTTATTCGACGCGGACCAGAGACAAGTTGTGTTGTATTTTTTCTACCGTCCATGATTTGATCCCTAGTTGGCAAGCTCGATCGGTTTTTTTTCTCTGCTGGACTCTTGGAAATTGGGGAGCAAGATGAAATTAGACAAAATACATCTTTCCTGACTAGTGTCTTGATGTCCTGTATCACAGTCTGGCATTCCGACTGGTTGCAGACCGTGCATATGAATCGCACATATTAGTTCCTCGTCTGATTTGTGTAATTTTTGTTAGCTCAACCGGTACCGATTTGTCTCTATCTATATGATTGCCCGCTTCTCTTTTTTCAAAATACATGATTTATTTCTATTTGCACTGTGTTAATAAGTGCTTTAAATTTAGCAATTGTGAATCTTTCCCCAATGGTCAACTATCGAAAATCTCCTGCGTGCCTATCTACATCCACGGTGTGCAATGTCATGCATGTCTGTGTGTGCGGATGAGTGATTATCAACAGTCCCCTTTTGACACTTGGCAGATTGTTGAGAATAACCCGACGATCATTAGCAGCATTGCTTGATTCCAGTTGACAATCCCACCTCTCATGGACACAGCAATGATTATTGCCTGTCGATAGCCGAAAGTGATATCAAAGTGATATTGCACGATGATTGTCTGCCTATAGTTCATGATTGAAGGAGTAGGTAGTATAATTTTCATTCAGACTGTGAGGTCCGGATTTCAATCCTCAGTTGGCATGATTGGCAGAAAACCTCCTTATTAGTTGAAAACAGCTGTACAATGCTCCCGGCTTTACAATTCACACTTCATTTGCTCTCTGTATACGATCAATTTTGTTATGTAATCGAATTCAAACTCGCTTACAAAAACGATACACCTATTTTGGGTGTCTGCAGGACGCGAAGACCTGAACGAGAACATAGGTGCATTGACAGTATGCAGCCAGTGAGTGTGGTTTTCTGACTGACTGTTCCCATTCCTTCCTACAATAACAAATGGAACTTGCTTCCTTTGACCCTAGCCAATTCAGGGGCCGCGTTTACCGAAAAGCAATGGATACTGTTCTGTGGAACTCATTCGATGAAACATCTCTTTCTGTAGTGGAATCCGCTCACTGATCCAATCATGAACCCCACGGGATTTTGCAACACCTCAGTTTATCTCGTTCGTCACTTTTTCTACGCTACTGACCGCGAGTATTCGATTCAGTGATCGAAATCAATGGATTTCAGCTAGTAACTCACGTGCACAACTTTTTGGCGTGTACAAATGTACTTTAGGTGGTATATTGTTGCACGCTGGTTAATCTTCGTTTCACTTGTCCTTCTCCCCCTTCTCCCGCATACACTGATCGCTGTTACTTCAGGTTCCACTAGCGTGACCCCTGGACAACCGAATCTGTCAGCAACGCGCAAAGTTGTCGATGGTGCGATCAGTCGAGTGAGTGCACTTCAGGCAGTCACTACTCGGACTGGTCTAACCGCCGGCCGCCGTCCAACCGTTGGATCGAACGCACCCGGGACCCCACGCAAGCTATCGCAAGGCACCGATCGGTCGATTGCATCCCGTCGTACTGCACCTCCCGGTACCATCAAACCCACGGGGACAACAGTGACCAAAAGTGGACTGAATGTGGCCCCGCGGAGTGTAACAACAGTAAATAAACCGGCCACCACAGTGAATAAGACACGCGGTAAGCTCACTCATCCACTCCGCTCTTTTATATTGATCGGTGTGCGTCTTATTTCACTGTTTGTCACGTTCGGCAACTTCCGAATACACCATTATTGCACATTGTAAGCAAAACACACGGAAGCGAACTAGATCGTTTACGATGATTGATCCACAGGTTACGAAATCACAATTCACTTCAGAATGTTCAGTAGGTAAAAAAAACTCACTACTGAATGCAAGAGAAAGCGAGCAAAAAATCACATTCCATCTCCATAACCGGATCTTGCTCATACTTTCTTTCGCTCATTTCGTCATTATTTTTTTAACCTATATCTGCCAACTGCTCTCTCTCTCTCGTGCCCGTTCTTATATTCCGCTACAACTGACGTATGCACGCGGATCCACCAAGCCAATATTTATTCCGCTGAAAGCGCATCACCTCGTTTCCGCTGCTCTGCTCCCCCCCCCATCCGCTACACACACACACACACACACACACACACCATCCTCTTTCATTCGATCTGTGTGTGTCTGTGTGTTGGGGAAACGAGAATACCACGCATTGCTTAGCAAAAGCAGCTGATATCCCGCGCTCCTATATGATGCATTTCACCAAATCGTTTCTTGATCTGTTCACAAACTGAGGTCACCAAAGAGAGAACCGAAACACTACTAATAAGCGGACTTCATTCTTGTCTGAATTGATGCGAACTGCGACGAATACCCGTCACATTTGTTCCCTCTAATTTATTTATTCTGTTCTCATTCCGAACCAGAATCAGCTCCTATCCATCAGAACACAGATCGTAAGAACATATGTGTTTTTGGTGAGTTCCTTCGCAAGCCAGCAATCAGAATCACATTTGATCAATTAAGTAGGTCAAAGAGAGTTACGTAATAAGAAAATGAGAAGAGCGAAATGTCAACGATGATTTAAGAGAACGGCTGAGATGATTGGAAGGAAAGGGGAGAGGAATAACCATGGCAATAACAACTGCATAACAAAGGCCTTTTGCACGCATAGGTCACGCTTCAAACGGCTAGTGACAACCGCTTCAGCAAACCTAAGCATCACATTTATGTAAAAAATAGTGGGGAGGTGTTGTTTTGAGGTCAAATATTTAGGGTTAGGGACACGTTTGTCTTCAGTTCTCTTGTTCAGATAAGAGCGGTTTACGTAAGCGTTGATAATTGGTTTGGGTCAATACAACACCCATGCGTGATGTTGTCCACTTTGGGTCAGGGAAGTTCAAGTGCTTTTTGAGCAGACGATTCTGGCTTGTTCAAGTGGATGGTAATTGCCTCGGCTGTTGCTGGCGTTTTAATTCGAACAGCCATGAATTTGTAAAACTAAGCACGAGTTCGTTCACACATGGTCTTACAGCGCAATGTGAGAAAATGATCAAGCCCTCGCGTGTTAGAGGCGGGTTTGTTATTAGATCTGGGAGTCCCGGGTTCGAACCGTTCCACCGCCACCTGTTCCCTGTTTCTGTATTTTCCCAGACAGCCTTTTTATGGCCGCAACTCCCTTCCTTAAAGTTGACTGCGCATTTGTATATTCAATAAATAATAGGAAGTAAAAAGACATTTACATTTCCACTACAATATCGTCCTATACCTGAACTTGCCAGGCACTCCAATCGATTTTTACTCGGCACCCTATGTTACCGATAGATTTCCCTCCTCTATGAGCCACATTGTGTAGACATCTTTGCTGTCCTTCGGCTCAGTACCACGCCTACATGTTTAAATCTTGCGTGGTTCGCCACACTAGGTTCCAGAGCTTACTTTGCCATCACGAACGACCCGTGGGTCTGCGCGACACAGCCATATCAGCCATTGTTCATTCATGGAATAGTTTCGCTGCGAATTGCCTGATTGTTATGCCTCGCGTGACCTGGGGGTTCAAGATTTTCATATCTTCCTTCCATATCGTCGCCTGAATACCCGTTGTCTTTCTCGAAATACGGTTTTTCTCAACACACATCAAATAAGAAAGAAAGAAAAAATCCACACATTTAGTTGTTCCGTGCAAACCTTGAACCATGAAATCTTCCACACACCAACCCAACATTCTTAACGGATCCATGTGTGACGCAGGACACACTCATCTTCCCATCATAAATCCAGCTTTATTGATTTCAGACAGACAGTAAACTGGCTGTTTTCGTCTCATTCCGTGCTTGCTACCCGCCTCCGTGTTTTTCTTTTGTTGTTCCAGCACACCACGTCACAAATGATGCATTCATTCTGTGTTCCTCTCAATCGGACCGAGGTGCTCACGTGGTGTGTGTGTGTGTGTGTGTGTGTGTGTGCGTGCGTGTGCTCGCGCGCGCGCGCTCACCTGATGCTTGTGCACGTGAAATAAATTCGCAAACCTTCTCTATCCGGTTCCGACCCACTCTTCTGCTTCTTCACGATAATTTTTTTGCTCTTGTGAACCGCTGTCAGGCTTACTCTGTCGGAGCGATAAAATAACTACCAGAATGAAATGCCAATCTCAGTTTGTTTGTCTCGTAACCAGTTCTACTGTCCTGTGAATAACCGCTATCTCACCCTCTCTCGCTCGCGCTGACGGGCGAACGGGCTTGTCGAGAGAGAGCAACTTTTTTTTCTGGGGGGGGAGGGGGATTCCGTATGGTGGTCAGCGTGCTGGGAATCACTGTTTTCGAATGGATGCGCCAACTTGAGTCACTGCAACTACAAGGCCGTACACTGCAGCTTTTCCTCCATGATGTCTCCAAAAGCTGTTAACCATTCGAAAGAGATTTATTGATACCGAGTAGGATATCAATGACTGGACAAAATTTCCGGGAAACACGATTGGTTTCGCGGTCGTTACCGCTCGTCGGGTATTTGTATCCTTTGTGTATTTTTTGTTTGGGCAGTCTGGTACTCGAACTAACGATGTGAATTAGTCTACTGCTACTAGTAGTATAGTACACATTGTAAAACCACCGAAAATCGGCCCTGAAGTCCAGTTGGTTGAGGCTGAATCTACCTAACCCACAACACTTAATACAGACTCATCGCAATGATTCCTCAATTAATTTTTTCTGTAAATCAACTTCACGAGGTGCAACTGAAATGTGCGTTGCCGAAGAGATTAGTTTATGCTACTAATCCCTAATCTTTCTCCGGATTTGTTTCCTGACTCATGTGCTATCCCCCGTCCAAATCAGACGAGCGAGGTGGCTCATTTAACCCACTTCCCAAACTCCTCTTTTCGGTTGCACTTGTCCTGAATGTGCCTTGATTGTGCAAGGTCGTTCCAATTTGTCTCTGAGTCGCGATGTCATTGCCTGACGTATTCTTTCTCTTCATCCCTCGGAATAGCTGTTCCTCCCTGCTCCGGACGTTCATTTACATTGTCCAGGTAGTTCTGGTTGAAGTTAATCGAAGTCTGTTCACTTGTCCCTGTTTAGGGTCTGTCTATTATGCGCGAACTTGCTCGCCTGCTTTTTGTGCGTTGACACTTAGTTATTCTGGTCTATGGGATTTTTTCTGTTTTTGATGGTACTCCATTTTGACATCCTTTGTGATATGCTCACTCTCTCTTCCACGTCATTCTCGCACATGACTCGACTTCCGATTAGACTTATGTAAGAGTATATAGAGTGACAGAGACGGACAGTACATCCAAGCGAGGGTCTGATCAGTCAGTGCTCCTGGGTTTCCCCTCCCGGGATCAATTCGTGGATTGTAACGCACAAACAGGTTGGATATATTTAAGCAATAAATCCTAGTATGACCATTCTTACCGAGCCCTCGTTGATTTCCGACCGTCTTACTGGCCACAACCCCGACTATTTTGGCATTGTGGACTTTGGTGACGGCTACCGGTTTTCACGCACAACCGTTATGATCAACAGGCTTAAGTCATGCATGCATGCTTTCGACCTTGGAGTCCGAAGTTCAAACCTTGTAACCGCCGCCCAACTTTGATGGTAGGTGACTTCGTTTTCGTCCGGCTTAATATCACACCTATGCTCGTGGGTCACTAATCCAAGTCCCCTGGCATGACTGATCAGTTCCCACCAGCGAACAGTGCAAGCATTTCCGTGACCGTGGATTTCATCCCTTTTACTTCTCACTACCTAATGCTATGAGTGCAATAACAAAAAAATAGGGCATCTTTTGAAGTGCCGCCCATGCTCCTCGTATTGTTTTGAGACAGTTTATCAATGGGAACACTTCTCTCTCTCTCCATTGAGCTTTCCCTTAAGTTTTTCACTTGCCATGTTGATCTGCTGAGATCATGTGACAACAAATCATTCTGTACGGCAAATTTATTATCAGCCAAGAACGCCATTTGCTTATGTATTTCAGGTGGATTACAAGCACGTGAACCGCCCACTCGCAGCTTCATGTCAGCCACGGCCAGCTCTGGTGCAAAACGTGTTCAACCTCACGTTTCCAGTCGTCCGCCAACCGGTAATGCAGTTCATTCACAGCCACGCTCCCCGGCCGTGACCTGCGGTCCGACTCTGGGGAATAGTATCAAACGTCCGGTTACAAGCACCCAGCTGCGTCGACCAGCTAGTTCCACACGGGTGACAGCTCGTCGATCCTATACCGATTTGGCTGACAAACGCGGCCCGATTCCATCTCGTGGCGGCCTGACACGCATGATGTCAGAGGTCACGGCCAATGTGATGGCCACAATTGAGGCGTACGATGATCCCAAGGCCTATCTGTTCTATCGTATGTTTCAAGGTGCTGATGAGGCAGAACCCAGTACAGACAGTGTGTTCAAAACGTTCACCTCAGAGTCGCCCTCTCGATCTGCGGGTGCGAAGCGTGGTGCAACGATCGGTGCTATCCCTCAAGGCGAACTAGATGCTGCAATGATTCAGACGGACTGGTTACAAGAATATAGGGAAAAAGAAAACCTCGTAGAACAGGCTAAGGTGAGTTTGGTGGTCGAAACGTTTTCCATCATTGAGCACTCCATCATCTACTCAGTATCTCTTTTAGTTGGAAGTTTGGTCCTTTTTCTACTAGCGGTTGTCGCTATCTTGTTTTTTTTTTCAAAGCAGTATCACTACCGTTGCGTGAACTTCTCTTTTTGGTGCATAGAATGTTGCAATCTATTGAGATTATCCTTATCTTCACATTTGCTTTCACAGTCCCCCAACATGCACTTGATTGCCTTTCACGCTTTGCGTTTAGTTGCTTTACCTCGGCGCCCCAGAATTTTATTCACTTCCCCAGACATCTCACTTTAGAAAACTCCCATAGTCTTTGCACTCCTCTGTGCACTGGAGCTTTCTCTGTTTCCTCCTGGTCGGAATCAACGCAACGCGCTTGGCTTCATCAACATTTTCTCCCTAACCTGCAAGTTTCAGTCGTTAGCTCACTATTCGCTATCCGTGTTCTACTGTTGCTAATTTATTTTTAGTTCAGTCTGACTTGTCTCTGCCTGCTCCTGCCCCCTCTCCACACACACACACACTGTTGTCCTTCCTCCTCTTACCCATCGCACCAAATAAACTGCCGCTGTGTGCCATGTTGACTGAGACCGGTAATGGGGGCATCGGCTAAGACCGGGTATGAGGATACGACAGTCCTCATAAAAGGAACTCGACGAAACAGGTCGCGTTAGGCTTCCCGGTTGGGCACTTGAGGATTAGTGTAGTCAATGGTTAAAGATCTTACGGCATTCTCATGAACAAACATAATGCATGAGTTGGTTCCCGTCACAATTCCGTGTACAGTCAGTCTATCCTCGGATTATGTGGTTTATCCCCCGTCTCTGACTGTATTCACCATTCTGTAATAAAAGCGATGATATAAAAGGATATAAAGGGACACACGTGAAGATGATCGATTTAGTTACCTTTTCAAATATCCTGTCACATACACAGGTGTGTTGTTCTTCGATGTTCACGATATCGATGCGTACCGTAATGTTGTTGTGTTGAGATTTGAAATCAGCAACTCATCCTCATCGCACAGTACTTTGCTATCGCCCTCTCGTAATTTGTGGTTTAGTTTGTCATCAAGAAGTCGTTTTTCACCATCACTTGAAACCAAACATGTGCGACACAGAATCAAACAAACGTCGTCGCCGTTCTTCCAACCTCATATTTACCACGAATGGCCTCGATTTGATGTGCTGTCGGAAGTAAATTTCCTTCCGCGTCAATAATTGACCTGAGAAATTGATTCTTGACATGGTCTCTAATGTAACGATCAGCTCTGAAACCAACTAAAATTTATCAGACAACTCAGCAAAACGCCCCTATTGCCTGGACGACATTCGCTTATTCATTTCATGTCTGTCACTAATCGCATGTTAAACATCTAAATTTGGTCAATCCGACCTACTTGACTTTTACTGGTTAGCCGAATTGAAATCGTGACACTCGTTCTCCTTCAATGACTCCAAACGCCGCCTCACAATCAATAATCGATTTGATCGATGGTGTGTCAAATGGCATTTGTCATGTTTGCTCTTCCACGTATCACTGGCTATCGCAGCGATCAAATAGAACTAACTATTCTTTAATACTTGTTAACGTTTATTCCTCAAATCGCAGTGGGAGGGGAAATTGCATCGGTCGCTTGATGTTTTTTCTCATCTAACCTTCAACCCCATACCCAACCACCTCAAAACAGAAACCTCACGGAATTGCTTGTACGTTGAAGATTGACATTATTATTCCTCGGTGCTTCTGAGTGTTCAAGATGTTGCTGGATCACACACCATCACATATATGAAATGTATGCCATTTAAGAGAGAATATCAAGGTTATGATGATTTTCTCGCCATCCATTCGAGAGCCCCTTCCCTGCACTCATCTTAAAGCGAAATGCCGGTATGGATCAAACTCGTGTGATCTAACTCCCATTTGCGATATACATTTCATTTTCCAATATCATACATGTACATCGATAGCTATGGGTGATTGGTATTTATTCCTAAATTCATCTACCACTGTAATGTTCTTAATTCTCTTATACTGCCGTTTGGATTTACGCTGCCTTGAATGTAACGTTAAAATTTGTAATAGGTCCTAAGTTATGGCTCAACATTATGTCGAATTCACTCAGTTACCGTTCAGCAATTGGGATTTGAATGTAATCGAAGATGTTTTCCTGTGTTAAGTTAGCCACCTCGGCAGTAGTCGTCAGTAGCCAGGGTGCGGCATGCGTTATAGGAAACTGGCAAATGCTGTTTGACAGTTAACTTGATAGATTCTATCCAAAACCTACTGCTTCTGGTGCTCGAAAATCTCCCAGGAAATACGGAAACTGAGTTTTGTGGCGAAGGGATACGACCGTATATTTTGATGCATTAAATTCCATGTCGTTTTCGATCGACCATTGATAGGCGGCATTCAGTGTTCTTTGGAGTTATAGCGAGTCCCCGTTTTCCACCATTTTACACATTTTTACATCTTCTGCAAACATTAATGTATGTGGCCCGAGAATGTCCGTTAGGTTGTTTGTGAAAACAAGGAAAGTTGAGGGCCCAGCACGGATCCCTGTGGAACTCCTCGTGCATTTGATGTGGGATGATATCATTGTCAGTCCCGTAAAATGCGGCTCAAAGCACTACGCGTTGGGACGAACAAGTCGGAAGAAAGTCAAGAACTTACACGGGTTTGTTCAGTACCTGTATAACAGTTACGTATCCAGTCCAAGTGGGAAATTTCGTATGGACAAGACGTATTAACCACCTCAGGTGATAACAAGACTCAACAGAAGGCTCCCCGATTTTTACCCTTGAATGCATTGATGGACCATCGAACTGTCAATGTTGATTTAAGCAGTTTCAGTACCCACATGATAGTATCTGATCAAATCGATTGGTGACACAAGACGAACTCGAGCTCCAATACTGCGGCTAAGTACCGACCCCCGGAGTCAGACTTATGAGTCTTTACTACCGACCCTTTTGAAAAAGGTCATTGTGATAATAGTTCAAATCAGGCTGCAACAGATAATATAACCGACACCAGCTCATCCTTTTCAGATCGCATATGATTGGTCAGTTTTGCTATTGGTTGCGTAAGTAGTAACCGACCTAGTCCGTGTCTCATCGATCTGTATTCACCTTTTGCAAATCGATTCTGTAGAACTACAGTCAACGCCTTCCAATACATTAACTTATGTTCTCCCTGATCAGTGCTTGTGGATGAAAAAGTCGTCTTGAGTATGTCTAGACTATTCGAGCTCTTGTACTTGTATTTCTAATGATATCGGAAATTCAACGAAATCTAGTTTCATTTAGTCCTGACATTTTAGAAGCTGATCGAATTTCTCCGCCGGGTTTCTATGCGTTGTATATCGAGAAGATAGATGCGAGGAACTGTTACAGACTGAGCTGAATGAATAAAATGTGAGAAAAATGATAGGCTACATTTGAATTTCATTAGTTTCGTTACTGTACCTCATCCAGCAAACCGTGTTTGCAATCGCTTTTCATCTGCGGGACACAACAACAACATTCCCTCTTGCTTGGTCATCGGTTTTCCTGAACTAACTGTGCTTGTGTTTTCTTTGAACAGACACTCACCGTGGCCTTGGTAGCACGATACAAATTCAGCTCTGACCGGTTTGCGTTGTGTGTTCATATCCTGTCTCATTCCCGTTGTTTTCTTCCATCCCGTAACTGCCAAACAATTTGGGCTCTACTCCTGCACTTTGCAGTGTGTATTATTTTTTGTGCTCAACTTTGACTGCTCATAAGTAGTGACAACCTCGTTTTAAAGTGGAACTTTCTTTTAGTGAATCCGAGTGTGCGTCCTATGTTTTTCTCAGCAATTCGATCAGTTTCCTACGTTCCATTCGCCTAAAAGGAACTCTTTATGCATTTCTCCCTACTTGTAGTTGGTACCGTTCGTTAAGCTTGAGTAACTTGCCCCTGTTTAAAGTTATATATATATATATATATATATCTGAAAGTGATTAGTTCTGTTGCCATTCCTGCTTTGTTCCTTACAATATAGCCAACTTCACCAAACGTCCGATCTCCATCCACGGCACAATTGGGCTTGGATGGTGCATCGCTACCGTTTTCTAACGCTATGCCTTCGAATTTACCCGAAGCCGGGGAAACGGAACTGGACGCGGAGGATCTACTGGACGTCACTCAGCCCACAGTTTCAGCATCTTCGCCGAAAATTCAGCATCGCCAACTACCCAGTGCGACCGAGAACCAGGTCAATGTTTCGATGCTGGTCGGTACCTCAGTAACCAGTCTGGCTGGGACTTACATCCTTGAGAAGGGTACTACACTAAATGAACGTGAAGCAGTCGATAACACCGGTGGGGTTGAAATGCGCACCGCAGCGGTATCATCGAACCGTCTTCGGGAACCAGGATCGGCAGATCAGTTGCACTCGCGAGGCAATCTGACTCGTCTCCAGGAAATGGAAGAAGAACAGAACATCGTGGATCCCAGTTCCCCGCGGAAATCGGTAAGTGCTTATGGATAGTTGTTTTGGCTGGGTTTTTGGTCACTATAATTTTACCACTCTACTACAAAAGCCCGTACATGCGTTCTTGTTTGGCAATGGTCGAAAATCGACTATGGATCTGCTGTTTGCGGATAGTTCGAGTTATGTGATCAACGTTACTCGTGTACCGTTTTTTGTATATTCCTTCATACCCTCGGTGAGATCTCTAACCATGGGCTGATTGGTGTCCGGACTGTAATTAGAAGGCTGTACATCTTATTCATTTTGCGGGATTGGGCTAATAAGGCCCCGAAGCTGTGCGTTTGCGTTTATATTTCCTGATGGACCTTTATGTCTCGGGTTGACGAAGAGATGAAAAGGAGAGTGGGTGAAATTTAAGTTCATTATATTGCGTTTTGTTTATCTAACCTGTTGCTCTGATTTGCGAGTTTTACGGTGCTGCACGTCATATCCTGTCCTGCTTCCGCCGATAGTCCATCCAGATACAAGAAAAATGCATTGGATATCGAATATAGTAAACAATTTTACTGTAGTTTGCCAGGATCTCCACATCTCAGCTCATCTCATAAGGTGCAGGTAACCGTGGTCTGACGATTTAGCGCAATCAGATCGTTCGTGTAGGGTGCGATCATTGACACGTTTCTTTACGGTTAAGTTCACCAGTGGCTCAACCATTTAAATCTTTCGTTGTCCTCTGTGCGCACAAATTTGGACTTTCGTATACTCTTGTTTTAGTCCGTCTGTTCGAATCGAGCGCGCACTGTAGTTCATGGATTCTAACAGAGCCTACTCATTGACGAGAGCGAACAGAAAAAATCTTATAGTCAGGTTTCGTGCATTGAGGCATACTGACAGACACATCTATAGTTGTTCACGCTTTAGCAGGTGTTAACACGCAGTGGTTTTTTGTTGTTGTCGGAGTCACCGGGCCGCATGGGATATCCTCTTCACCACGATTACGATCCCCGTGATTTTCCAAATTCTGATGTTGCTCTATGCACCTCGTCCATCCAGTGTGAGTGCATGGTTTGCGTTTGCCACCGTGCGAAAGAACATTCACATGAATGCTCAGAACTTTCCTGTTTGTTTTATTTAGACTTGCTAACAGTAACCATGGTAATCCCGCTGCCTAACATAGTTCCCCTCTCTCCCATGATAACTGCACCTCACTACAGTTTGATCGTGCCGCATGCGGTGCTTTTTCTTTGCATACTTCTACCTGCACTGTAACCTCCTAACTTTCGAGTGCCGGTGACCTCCTTGTTTCGCTCAAGAAACCCGGCCCCACGACCCCAACGAGTTTTGCCCGTTCGGGAATGCACTCCAGGTGTGATCCTACCGGTCCTCGGTTAAAGCGTCGTACCCCGAATGACCCGCCTGATCTCACAGCGTCCACCGATTTGCCCACAACAAGTTCGGATGTGCGTATCGCTCGGACTGGAAATGTTACAAGCAGTACGACGCAGTCTTCCGAGGCATTATTAGAAGCATGCAAAGATGATATGGAATTAGATAAGACAGAAGCTCCCGTTTTGTCCGCAGATGGTCTGAACACATCGGTCCTGGTTAGTGCCTCGGTGACGAGTCTGGCACCAAGTTTGGCAGGCACATATGTGATGGATGTGGACGACACGTTGGCCGCCAAAGGCTTGGTTCCCGCTGTTGTCGTTCAAAGTCGTGAAGACTTGTTGTTATCTCCTACGCGGGAAATCCGATTGCTGGGAAATCGGATGATTAGCCGTGGATCCCGTCTTGCTGAGGTGTCCAAAGAATCCTCGTTAACTCCACGTGCTAGTCCAGCTCCTAATCGTGACGGTCTGTGGGATGTACTGGAGACGGAAGAATGTACAGAGGAAGTGGAAAACGGAAATCTATCCCCAAATGATGGCACATTATCACGGCCCAGGAGAGCGGAAGTAGACGGACTGGTAGCAGAGACGGTGGAAGAGATGGAATGCTATCGGTCTTTGCCAAATCCATCCGACGATCGAGATCGAATCTATGCGTATCAGGTAGGCCTGTGTTGGATTGCATGATTCACTCACCGTTGGATGTATCTGACTGTCAGTGTATTGATCTTAACAATAACAAAGCAAAATTAGTTTTTATTCCAATGCTAAGCACCATCTACGCTGCTGGCACCAAAACACCTGTGTAGTCTATTTTTTCGCTATCAGTTTCTATTGTCTGTGTTTACTAATCACAATTCCACATGCGTTTATGTTCGTGTGCCTGTATGCCTTACCGTGTGTACTCACATCGCTTTGCTCATTTCTAACCATCAAACAGATAACGACTTCTCCGATCCCCATCCCTTATCATATTGGGAGACTACCTGTGATTTTATTCGCTTAGGTCCGGTCGGGTTAGGGCAATTTCCGTGTGCAATGATTTTCACGCATATCCCGCAACTTGCCGTGATGAAAACACCGTTAAATGTAACCCGAAGAGATGGACTGAGAATCAGCGGAAAATCACAATTAGGAAAGTTCTAACGTTTCGCCAGCTAACCACGGACGGCGAGGTTGCCATCCATCACTGCGCGATGGTCACGGTAGGGTTCTTTTCCAGCTCTCTCTTTTAATTACTGTAATAGGGGATACGTAGTCCAAGGAATAATCATTAGTAGTACTTACTCTCAAGTCAAGCTAATAGGGCACTTTATTCATCCAATGTGGACAGAATTTTCAGTGAAAAGAATGCTAACACTTTTGCTTTGACATTATATGCTATTAAAAATGAGTTTAAAGATATGGCAAATAGTTACTTAGATGATTAAGAAGAGAACACCGAGAAAGCGTAGCAAATGAAGAAAACTTCAGCGTAAGAATTTACATTAGACCGTGTGTAAGTTCGTTTAATATTCGTCCCCTGGAAACCAAAAAAACTTGAAAGGTAAGGTACACCGGAATTTTGAAATGCAGTGGTACGAGTATATAAAGGTTTAAATTTGTTGCGGGTGACAGAAGTTTAGATGGAGCGAGATAGGGTTGAGTATAAAGGATGTGATGCATCGGACAAGATAGAGTCCCAGATGGTCACACACCTTAAGGTGTTAGTTGACAATGGAATCAACCAGCTCCTCATAAGATACATCTCTATATCTGGATATGCTTTTTAGAGAGTGTCTTATTAATATGAAATCCTCAGACAGTAGACCGGGAACTATAACGGGATAGAAGTATGTTCAACGGCATAAAGCGCGCGAGAAAATAAATTTAGAAACGATGTACTATATTTGGCAATTTTTTCGTCTAACATAATTCGAATGGATTACTGTAACTTCCATTTCACTACACTCGTGTACCAGGTGATAAACTGTTCGATTGCTTCGTTTAAATATGTGCAACCTGCTCCAATTTTTTCCCCACGCATATTTAGTCTCGGAACATTTCCCCCTGCCCCCGCTTGTCCTATTTACTTGAACAGAGAGGAGGCAAATATTGCGAGAGGTTAACATTTCTTTTAATATCTTCAATTGCTGAAACGTAAAAAAGTTCCGGCATTTATGCAGAGGAGAGTTTTGATAACTTCAGTGGGTTAGCGGACAATAGTCACAGGGTGGGGGGGGGCAAACCACATTCACAGTCATTTGATTGATTGCATCGGAAACTTTTGTTTAACTACCAGATTTTCTTTTTTCTTTTACTTTTACTTTTATTGAATGTGCAAAGAACGAGGAAGCGGCCAGCCAAAGGGCTGCCAATCAACGCACAATGGGAGAAAGTTAGGCGGTGGTAATGAGATTCGAACACATTCCGGGCTAATAATTTGGTGGCGTTACCACCGCCCGACTGAGGAGATTAAAACAAATATTTACTCTCGTTTAAAATGTGGAGTATGTGTGCGCGCCGGGAGGGGGGCGTTTGCGCACGTACTCAGATCACGTTTGCCCTATGATCTTTTATGGATTACACATTTGTGTGGTGAACAGTAGACGGAGCGAAACCCATAGCCCTGTATAGGCGCGCCCTTCGATTGGCTGCGCTGCGTTTTGTGTGCTCGTCGTCTCACTGGGTTTTATGATTATCGATATCAAACATGTCCTGGACCCGTACCTAGTCTCGTCAGGATATGCTTAGATTGAAATCTGTTAATTCTGTGCCTCATACAAACAATATGCTTAGAGAATCTGGAAATCATGCTTGGATCCAGAGGCGCAAGCGTGCTGGATGGCATTGAGCGCCTAATAGCACCCCTCCTGCCAAGATGACCGTGCCGTCATTGGTCAGTACCAACGTTTTCTCTCTCTTCGTAAAGATCTCGAATTTAACTTCCTCATTGAACACACGCATCCATTCCAACACATGTGTCGTATGCATACAAAAAACCTGATTAAATCAACGCGTTTAGGATGCTCTCGTGCAGATAGATGGCTTCGACTGTTACCGACAGGATAGACAACAGGAAGAAAATCGGAGGCGGTGTGGCAACGTACATCAACACTTCTTGGTGTGGCAAGTCTGAAGTGGTATTCAGCAATTCTGAAAAATACATTGACTGTTTATCCGTTCGTTGTCATCCCAGATTTTCCGACATAAAAGTACAATTATTACTAATGTGTATATATCTCCTTCGTGCTCCAAATCAGATATATCCTCCTTCTTTGATCATTACATCCCGTTTTTGGTTCCAATATTACATGAAAATCTTCATTTGACTGTTGGTGAATTCAACCATGAAAGCGTTTTCCCTCTGCTTTCTTCTGGTTTGTCCGATTTGTCTCAGTCTCCTA